CTCTGTGATCACATGCTGCAGGTCGAATCTGTTCCCCTTGCTGTACGTGCTTTTCATGTTTACCCCTGTAAAGTGGAGGACACTCATTGATGTGTTTCCTTCAAACGGTGTTGGAAGAAATGGTCTTGCTTGTCACAGGGACGTGGTGAAAAGTTCAATATTATCCACGGGAATGAGATGTTGTCTGAGCAATGTGTCTTCTGATGGAGTCTCTCTGCAAACGCTGAAGGTCAAGGACAACCACGCAATCTGTGGAGGGTATGAGGAGAGTGTTGTGGGTGCTGTGTGTGAGGAGGTACTGGTGGAGAAAAGACATGTGTTTTGTCGATTCCCAGGCTTCATTGCTGGCCTTCTGGGAATGAGCCTGAAGGTGTCTTATTTTGGGGTATCACACTGCTCAGATTAGAAATGGCCAAGCTGTAGGTTCATCCGTTTCCTTTCTCTTGCATATGAATGGTACTGACTGAGCATGGGTAAGCCCTTCTGAACCCATGCAATGCAGTGTTAGCAAATGCACGTTTGCATTTTTAGCAAGGTGAGGTATCTTTCTGCCAGCACATGTGCTCGAGCAGGATGATGTTCTCTTGAAACGGAACATTAATGGTCCCGTGTATAACTTTCTGTGGCTAATTAAGCATTTGTACTTTCCATCCTGCCTTACCACATGTTTCACGTGATTACCTGCCCGCCTGTGTAGTAGCACTTGAGCTTCTATTATTTATCATCTATTCTGGTTGAAAGCAGCATGTGAGGAACAGAATACCAGGTACTCTTAAGAGTGGTACTTGTTTGAACTGTTCTCTTCTTTTTCTGTGCTCCTCCCCAGCCCGTTAGCCGTTTTACTCTAATAGCATGGGACTATCACAAACACACGATTGTTTTTATTGGGAACCGTGTGGTAGTGGAGGGGTTTTTCTCAATTCTGTCTTTTGTTCACTTAATTATTATTCTTCCCTTGTAACACAGCTTTTTCACTCACCAGTCGTTCTTTTGGATGAATGGAAGCCACTGCTGGAAATTGTTGGTATAGGCACCTGCGCCCACTGTGGGGTGGGCTTGTGCTTCTCGCACGTGTGAAAGGTCCTCACGCAGCATGTTCCTCAGCTGGCAGTGACAGTGGTGGCAGTTTTGGGTACCAGAATGCAGTGTGTGTTTTCCACGCTGGACGTACTTCTTGCTCAACCAGGAGACCATTCCCAGGCATTCCTTTTAATTCCTTCTTCCTTGTGGGAATTTCCTTGGTTGGGTCAAAAGTGAGCTCCAAGCTCTGGATTGAGGAAGAGGGTGGAAGAGGAGTGAAATTACTTGTTGGTCAGTGTTAAATTCTAAAATACGTGTGCGTACGTGAGTGCTGTTTGGCCACCTTGGTGGTGATCCATGCTGTGCTCTTGCAAAGATGGAGTTGAAGAACTGGATGTTCCCAGATGGACTCTGGTGCTTATATAAGTGCGCTATGAGCCTCTCCTTAGGCCTTCAAACTATGAGTGAGGAGAGTATTGCCGCAGTTTGTGCTGGGGTGCGTTACAGGTGGCGTGGCACTTCAAGAACTGTCAAGATACACTCGCTGTGAAGGGTTATTAATTTGTGCTTCTTATGTCGCCTTACAGCTTGTTTTGTGTTGTTATCCCTCGTGCAGCAGCGCTTGATCTTTCTGTTTAATATCGATGCAAACGGTGTGTGAGGAACAGAGTAACATGCATTCTAAATAGGGTTAGAGGTTAGAAAGGTTGTTTTCTCCTCCCGTGCTCCTTACCAGCTGATGAGCACATCCAGAGTCTTACTGCACCTGGAATGATTTTGTGAGAATGACCTTGTTGTCCACGAGAAGCCTGGTTACACAGCAACCTTGGGGCCTCTTCTGCCAAATTCGGGTTAAGCTCCGAGGGGTCGTTACTGTCCTATGGGCACTTTTCATCTGCTTTCCTGCTTGTCAGCATGTCTTCTACAGAGAGGTGTAGTCTGAGGTAGCGGTGTAGCGACAGTACATCGTCATGTGCCTAATGACGATATCATCTTCATTTCTTTTCATTTCTTGCTCGGCAGCATTACTCATGTGATTGGACTATTATACTGGACTATAATTCACAGGTATTTTAATCGTTAACGGCTTATTAGTTGAAGGTTTTTTTAAAAGTCTACCGTTCCTTGCTTTATTTATCACTGTCGTCTTACAACAGAGTTTTGATTTAATGTTAATTATCTGAAATGCATGTAAGCAGTACCTTAGTAGTGCAACCACAAAAGTTGGGGAAGGACGAAATTCTGCATAAATACCTGCTCAGTATGGGTAGGCGCCCCGTGGCTGCTTTGTGAGAATGGTCTTGTTGGCGAGGAGGAACCTGTTCCCACAGTAGTGTTGTGGCTGAGGGATCGTTTTGCTAATAACTGCTAAGAACTGATGGTTTGCTAATCACTGATCGTTTGCTAATCACTGCAGTGGAAGAAGCCTGTGAAGGAGAAACTGAGTCCTGTAGTCCGTGTCTTTTGAAGGAGTGGCATAACCGAGAGCTGAGTTATCACCAGGACCTCGTGGTTGGGCACAATAGTCATCCATGGAGTCGTCTCTTGTTTGGAGCAACAGGAGTGTTAGGAAAGTCTGCTGTACCGGTAGTTTCCAAATTCGTGGTCTGTGTAGCACTTGAAATGATTCAGTTGGTTGTCACGTGCCCTGCTCTCTCCATGGTCACGAACCAAGATTTGTTGGTTGGCAGAGCCTTGCATCCGTCATTTCCTTGGGTTGATGCCGAGAGGCGGTGTCATCGTACAAACAGGCACTGAGGAAGATCAAATACTTTTTCATAGGCGTTGCACCGTGAGGGTTTTACCCTTTCCATTCGCAGACCACCCCACGCCTGGAGCGCTCCATCTATTGTGTGCGTGAAATCCACGTGGCTGTGTTTCTGCCATGGGTGAACTGCCTCCTCTGGGGTTGCCCTTCTGACTTTTCTTCCTGTGCCTTCTTTTGCTGTCTCCTTTTTACCTACAAGTCTCTGACTGTCCCGGGAAAAGCAGCCGGCATGTCACATAGACCTCGGGCATCACCACGGAGGAGTGTCCCGCTCCTCTTTACAGTTATCGGAATAGCACGCAGGTAATGGAAGTGTCCTGGGAGCATGGGTACCTTTTTGCTGCCCGTCCATCTTCTCACATCTACTTACTTACCCCATTCACTGAAAGAAGCAAATCTGAAGAAATGCTTTAATAGGTCTCTGTTCGCAGTCCTACAGCGAGACGTTGTGGTGATGTCAGTGATTTGTAAACTAGGAGCATGTACTGATGCTGCTGTTGTAGAGAATAAGGGTTGCCATTTTCTCCCAGTCTCAGTCACTCTGAGAGGTGTATAAAATAAAATTGATACAGTCAAGTATCTCCTCAAAGAACATGGTGGGTCTGATGCTTCCTTCATCTTTCAGCATCTCATTTGCAATGCTCTGTAACTGCTGCTTCTCAGAGTTCTTAGAAAACAAATAAAAGAGCTGGGGAAAGACAACCCGTAGCAACAGTAGGAAGCTGTTGGAATATGTCAGACACTCGCTGTACAGCATAGCGGCTTCTACTTACCTGTACTCACCCGTGCGCTGCTGTACGAAGTCTGCGCGCTCCTCCGCTGCTCGTAACGCGTTCCCCAGCCAGACTCTTAATTTCCACTGGTGAACACAGCTGCTGGGTTCGCCTACCCGGGGGTGTGAGAGAACTCGCCGAACTGCAGGC